ACACATCCGGGAAGTTTTTACGCGTCCTCTGTTCTTGAGTTTTGGACCTGAACTTCGGCGGTTGAGGATGACGTTACACGAGAACATGAGGCTGCAAGATCACTGCAGAATGCATATTGAGAAACAGCCATGCTCTATAGGTGAATTGGATGATCTAAACTGGCTGTAGTGTATGAGTGTGTATGGGAGTTTCTCAGTACTGGGTTGCAGCTGGAAGGGCATTCGCTGCATAAAACATATGCTGGAATGGCTGACAGTTCATTCCGCTCTGGTGACCCCTGATAAATAAGGGACTAAGCTGCAGGAAAATGTATAAGTATTTTTTCCCACTATGGAAGTCAATGGTTCCTGGTTTCCAGCATTCTTCGAAATATCTTATTTTGTGTTCAACAGAATAAAGAATCTCCGAAAAGGTTTTGGAACCACATTAGGGTGCATAAATTGTGAATACATTTTCATTTTTAGGTAAACTATCCCTTTAAGCAAAAAGTAAAAGAATCCTATTGATTTATTTCTGCATGCATGTATTTATTTATTATTTTGGCACATTTTTCAAATTTGGTTTGTTGAGTATTTTTGCCCCTATTTTCTACTTAACTGATATAAAACTGTAATGCACTCAAAACCTATATTAGCTGTGTGTTTATCTGAATATAATGGCAGACCAAAAGGAGGTCTCATACCAGAAGCAATCACGCCATGCATTTAAAATTCTAAACATAGGTTTCTATCAGGGTACGCACACCGGCAACGCGAGTCCGCAGCTGATCTCAACAGCCAGCCATGACTGTTCATATTTCTGCCTCACCAAAGAACACCATCTAAATAGTTTCGTTTAAAACATGTCTGGTGTGCGATACTTCCAACTGTCATGTGTGCGCCGTGTTGTGGCACCGAGTAGGCATGGGATAATAACCGGTTTTAAGGTTTAATAAGGTTTCATATATATAAAATTATATGTTTCCTAAAATAAATTATATTGTTTCCTAGAGATGGGTTGCGGCTGGAAGGGCATCCGCTGTGTAAAAACTTGCTGGATAAGTTGGCGGTTCGTTCCGCTGTGGCGACCCCGGATTAATAAAGGGACTAAGCCGACAAGAAAATGAATGAATGAATTAAATTATATTGTGTTCAATGGGGGGAAAAAAGTTGTTGTTTTTACCCAGATATTTAAAAATAACTTGTTTTAGAGCAGTAATCACAATACTGTGATACAGAGATATTATTATCTAAAGTTATCATACCGTCAGAATGTTATACCGGCCCATGCTTAGCGCTGAGCAGCGCTTCTGGTGTGCGACCCCCTTTAGAATGTTCATCAGCCAATCAGAATCAAGCATTCATCATCACCATACTACAAGTAATTATAATTATGTGGGTGTACTGGTAGGGATAATAGAGTTTGTTTTGTACTTGGAATTTTCCACACTCGACTATCACACTTTTATTTACTTTTATTTTTTGATTGAAGTATTTTTGTCCTGTATCCAGTGCAATGTATTGAATAAGTCTGTGTTGTTTTATGTGATGCTGTAAAATCAAGCTAAAAAAAATTGAATGTATATATAAGAGAAATGTGTATGTGTGCAAAGTGGTGTTACTTTGTTAAACTAATTCATTTTAACAATAATAATGCATCTGGATTCATGTTTTTTTCTAATCACCCAATATAAGACTTACAAATGATCCTGTAAGAATAATAGTAATAAAATGTAAATCCATTTGCAAAAGTTTTGTTGTTGCTTGTTTACCTTTATTTAAAATGGTGGAAAATAATACTTTTGGATCAGATTTTTAAATGAACATTTCTATGTTGAACGGGTCTGCATTGTAATGTAAAATAATAAATAATAAAGTGATGATTTTAATAGTTTTTGTCGATTTTGTACAGTTTTTAATCTACATTAATACTAGTTTAATTAGCATGTCTTTTTATCAGTTGCATCTTTCTTGTGATAACAACACCTTTTAAAATAAAGCAACCGCATCACGAAAAACACATTAGTCTCTCACCAAGAAAAAAACCCAACAACATCTAAGTTGAGAGAATACACAAAAAATATGGTCAAACTTTATTTGATGGTCCCTATTGCACATTTTGTTGACTAAAAGTGGCATTGAAAATTCTTATTTGAGTATTAGTAGACTGTCTACTTTATATCTGCTGATACTGCTACTTCAACAGACGTTTAACTGACTATAAGAAACTTTGCAAGTACATGTCAACCTACACTAACCCCAACCTAACAGTCTACTTATAATCTAATGAGAATTAGTTGGCATGTAAAGGCAATGTGACTTAAATCCAACAAAATGTGTTAAAGGGACCATCAAAATAAAGTTATACCAAAAATATTACATTCCATAAATAGAAAATATGATAAAATATGACAAAGGTCCAGAACTTGTCCCATACATGAGCTCATTTGTCCTACTTTGACTGCTTTGCCATCATAAATAGTGAAAATAACTAATCGAAAAAGGTTTTAAGGCCAAGTGGAATCCTCTGTTGGCTGTCGCTTCAGAGTGACTTTAGCTAATCAGTTTTGGCCAATGCTAACGAATATTTTTCATGAGTCCAACATCTTTGCAAGAAAATATTCCATCTGAAGTAAGTGAAGTCATCTTTCCCTACATTACTGTTTTTAAATCGAGACAAATACTCTTGAAACAAAAAAATGACCAATAAAAAGATGTGAAGCACCAGAAGCGGTTCATATAAAAATTAATTTAATTATTTTGGCTATTGTTGTTATCCATAAATTTTCAAATGTACTTTTTTTTTTTTTTTTTTTTACAAGAGAGGCTAGAAAAATTGTGAAGCTCTATATTATTATTACTATTAAAATAGTGCTTAAAATGTCAATAAAATGTCACTAAAATATTTAAAACTCAAAATGAAATAAAAAATTAGGGGTAGAGCTGAAAAAAAATTCCACTTTTTGAGAAAAAAAAAACACCTCATTCACGAGGCTGGCTACGGGCCTGTTGTGAAATTACAGTAGGCTATGTAGGCCATGCTATGAGCACGCTGGCTCCTGATGTGAATGTGTTACTAGCGCTCTCTGGTGTTTAGAACAAGAATTCACATTTAAATATACCCTTTTTTATCAGATCCCTGTAGCAGTTTCCTATTTGAATGTGAACAAATATTTAAAAAAAAAAATAAATAGCTGATAACAGACAGGCTACTTTAAATTAGTTTTAGCATACACCCATGCCTAAAACGCTACTAGTCATTCACAACAAGTCAAATTTAAAAATGAAATGGCGGACAAAAGGATACATCTCCAACTCAGGGTTCAAATGGGATATATCCGTCAAGAGAGTATTTAAGAATTGGATTTGGTTTTTACTCTGATAAATGTATGTTTTGTGATGATAATGAAACAACAGATTTTGTGTAATTAGTTTTTTCACTGTATGTTTGTGGATGTATTATGGTCAGATGTTTATGATTGGCTTTACCCAAGGATTACACACCTCAGGATCTTTGATGTATGTGAATTTAATTAATAATTGATGGACTTGTAATGGACAGTAATGAAAATGCCTTCCTATTTAACAACACCCTTCTGCTTGGAAAATTTTTCATATATAAATTAAAATATTTGAAGGTGAAATCAATTTTTGTGCTTTTTATGATTCGTTCACATAAAATCCCTTAAGATAATGAAAACAAAAAGTGCACTTATTCCTAAATTAATAAGTTACAGGAAAACCCCTAGTCCTTTTTATTTATTATATTTAGTCATATATTATTTTAATTATAATTATTTTATGTAACACAATATGTAGGTAATTTGTTCTTTAGTTGCACCTGTCTACTTTGTAATGTAAAGGTGTATTGCCAAGTTGTTGTACAGTATGTTCAACAAAAACAGAAAAAGAAGAAAAAAACTCTGGGTTCAAATTACTGTAGGTAAAGATTCACTTCATTTAGTTTTATTTCATATTTACTGTCTAAACTAAAGCATCGCTTTGTTAGTGAAGACTCTCCGAATGATTCAATGAGGCACAACTGAATGAATCTTTTGGACTGAATCGCGAATCAATTCCACCAGTTCTGCTATAGTTCATACATAAACTGTAAAAAAAATAAATAAATAGTCAAATCCAATTCATTTCCCAGACAGCACACATACGTTGGGCCGACGTCGGCCGAAGGTCAACACGTCGGCCCCTTTAATTCTAACATCGGTATATGGTCGGCCAAACATACGCATGATCGTTCGGTCGTGTGTTCTATTGTTCCAGCTCAACAAACGTCGGCTCTGCATCGGTTAACGACCAGAGGCCGACGAAGCACTTCATAAGCACTTTATCTCTCATGCCCATGAAGGAATCCGGCAACATATTTGGTTTACAAGTAAGTTTTTGCGTGCATAATAAATTAGACAAACGCGACATGCATCATGTGAACTGCGTCGGTCGGTCCAGCTTTAAATAGTCTACATTAATGCAGTAAAACTGACCAAAATGCCTACAACACATGATTTCAATTAATTAAAATATAAAAAGTTTTGTTGTTATGCTTAAATAATGAAAACGTTGTTTTTTTTCTGGTGTTAACTGCTGTTTGCTTTTTTTTTATTGTGGCTTTTTCTAATACATTTTTCCCAGTGTAAAAATCAAGTATGTTCTGCATGTTCGGCTGTTTAATAAAAATAAACACCTTTTTACAGAGTGACATCTTTGTTTTATATATACTTGCATTTATATTTATTGGTTATTTATTTTTGACAGTGAATCTGATGCACAAATAAGTGTTTGTTTTGTAACAGTTTAGTAGGCTATAAAGCTCGTCTTAAAGATAATAGCGTATATAAAACTACTAAATACATTTTTAATTCAATATATAAAATACAAGGTTATTATTTAAATAGTCTATGGAGTGATCATGTTTATAAATTTAATACTGCATGACTTTGATGTGCGCGCGCGCGTCTCATTCCAACACTGGAGCGGAGGGGATGTTGCTATGGGAAACGAAGCTACAACACGACACGACACCACCTGAAAGACACAACACGACTTCTCTCAAGCTGCCGTTTTGACAGTTTTCAGGTAAGTTTAGTCCCTAAAACAAAGCAAATACTACATAAAACTGTTCCTCACACTTTTATTATTGGCAATTGATGAATATTCAGTTGAATATTATGTTATATAAGAGTGGTAAGTCTTCGTAAAAGTCCGTTAGCATATTAGCACTGGTAACGTTAGCGTCGGGGTAATATTACGTTAACTTACTTAATGTTAGCTCTTGTTAAACTTGTTTGTTAAAGTTTAGGCTTTTATTTATTCTTTATGTGTAGATGAGAGGTTTTGTCAATGTTTTATTTAATGCACTCCATATGTAACGTTAGTCTAATACGCATTGTACTGTAAAGGACCGTGAATCAAAAGTTCAATCGTGTTTTGATATTTCATAGTAACGTTATCTTAAACAAATGTTAAGTAAAAAAGTGTTCTGTGGTTTCAGGAGTGAGAGAATAACCCCCTGCTACAGAAAACATAACACAAGATTCCTAAATTTCTGAAGGGAGCTGATCACAGAGATGCAGAAAAGACAGGTAACTTTAAGCAGAGGATTAATTCATATGAATTTCCATTGCACATCATTATGCAAATGTTACATGTCTATATATTATGCATCTGTTACTTGTCTTTATTGCAGTTATTTTAAGAAAGTTTTGACATTGAAACATGTGAGTGGTGTTAAATTTCACATCACATGATTCTTCAGAACTTAATAAATATGCAGATTTGCTGCTAATGAAGTAATATTTGTTATTTTCATTTTGTTTAATTTTTTTATGATTAATTGATTTATTAAATCTTAGAAAAAAGTTTACACTAAATTATTTGTCATCACATCTGTTTTTAGCATTGATAGCAATCAGAAATGTTTCTTGAGCAGCAAATCAGCACCATTTGATAATCACCATTATATTAGTTCAACCTCAAGCACTAAATCAACATCTTTAAAAAAGATTTCTGAAAGATCAAGTGATACTGAAGACTTGAGTAATGATGCTGAAAATTTAGCTTTACATCATAGCTATGAATTACATGTATATTTACACCGTTCACCCATCCCTTACACCTTAACTCATCCTCAAACAAGTCAATTTAAGCCCTAAATGAATACATTTTGATTTGTACAGGCATGATATGCAACTTGTATTCAGTCGTTTTGTTTTTTCTTTCTTTTGCTTTTGTTTTCCACATCAACTGAAAAGGAGGTCAAAGTTTAACCTAAGTGCTGTGTAGCTGATGAACATCTTTATATGTAAGTATATTTTTGACTGACTGCCAGACACTTGTCAAACAGTGATGAGCAAACGAGGGGCCGTTCTTTTAAAAAGATCAGGGAGATACAAGTCTGAAGATAAATATACATTTTAATTCAAAATTGATTTATCTGTAAATATTTCATAATGTTTTGAGATATGTGCCCTATATCCATTTAGATGTCCATCCATGTTTAAAATACTTTTAAATTTAACAACGGCTGCAAGTTATAAAAACATAAACACAAAAATGTTAAAGTAAATTGAGAAAACATTTTCATCAGTTTGACAACATACACAATCTCACAAATAGCATAGAAAAAGTGACAAAGCTGTCTTCTTTGTCTGTGTTTTATTACTCTCTTTGCACTCTCGGCCACTGTATGTAACAGTGATTAGTATAATGTAACGGTAGACAGATGAGGAATGTGAATATGTAGTTTAACTTTAAGGAGCGTTACTACTGGAACCATTTTTTGTACAAATATATATATATATATATATATATATATATATATATATATATATATATATATATATATATATATATATATGTATTGATTTACCTGTTAAAAAAATTAAGCAAAAAATTTATTATCAGGTAGATCAGCTCCTGACAGACATGTTAAGAGGTCAGTTTAACTTTTATTAAATTCATTCATTCATTCATTCATTCATTTTATTTTCTGATTAGTCCCTTTATTAATCTGGGGTAACCACAGCGGAATGAACTGTCAACTAATCCAGCATATGTTTTATGCAGTGGATGCCCTTCCAGCTGCAACCCATCACTGGGAAACAACCATATACGCTTATTCTCACTCATACACTACAGACAATTTAGCCTACCCAATTCACCTGTACCCCATGTCTTTGGACTTGTAGGCAAAACCGGAGCACCCAGAGAAAACCCACGCAAACGCAGGGAGAATTTGCAAACTCCACACAGAAATGCCAGCTGATCCAGTCGAGGCTCGAGTCAGCATCCTTGCTGTAAGGCAACAGCACTATTGTGCCACCACGTCATGCTCTTATTAAATTATATTTATATAATGTTGTGTTTCAGTACATGCTATTTTGGAAAGACAAAATATATTCATAAGCTCTCAGAAAATTCAATAAGACAATTAACTGCACAATTACTTGAAATGTGTGGATGGGATTACATTATTTGTTAACCCAAAGTGAGTTTCTCTTTCTTTGCAGTATTGGATGCCTGATTGCAGTTCAACTCCAAACTCAGTTGGACCAGCTGATCAGTGTCTTCAGTATTACCACAAGCTACTGGGCAGATGTGTGGACACGACAGCTATGAGCCAAACTTGGGACGTTTGGTTTTTAGGTAATACCAGTGACAAAGTATTCAGTAAATTGCTTATAATAAAAGATGCTCACTGCTTACCCCCTTATAGTTAAGTTGTTTGCAGTTTCATTGTTGGAAAAATACCATACTTTTTCCTTTTTTATCAGCAGGTGGAGAGACCGTCTGGGCAGCAGAAACAAGACAACTAATCATAGTTGAGTTGAGATTAGTTGTAGCTGCCGTCAGAAGCAATGCTTATATATTACACTCTATAAACATAAACTTTACATTAAAAAGTCAATAAATAGATAAAATGTTCAAATTAATCATTAGAATAAATAAGTAATGTATATTTGTTGTTAATGCATGTTAATTCATTTAAAGTTATTTAACTAAAACTATAAGGGGGAGGGGGGAACCTTTTCTTGTTATGTTTAGCTTGGGAATTATTTCATTGTTGCAATGAAGATATTCTTCCGATCCACTACAAGTAGTTCAGCCACAAGGTGCTGTGCTAAAACAAGTTTTTAAGGTTTAAGAAGTGCAAAGAAGTTTGTTAAAGAGAAACTGCAACCCTTCAAGTTTATTCCTCTTGAGTTAGAGAGGCCAATGAGGTATGTGTTGTATGGTGTTAACGTATGTGAACGTGTATGATTATGTGTCCGTATGTAATGTATAATTAGCCAATTAAGTGTATTTCGTTACATGTTGAATGTGCACTTTATTTTTTGTTTGTATGTATGTTGTTTATTACGTGCAACATCACCTTTAAAGGGTTAATTGAAGTTTATGTATTTCTTTTCGTAGTTCTGACGGCAATATTGGGACATAAAGGAGTGCAAGGCTAGAATGTACAAGACATACTACAGACTCGTGTCCGAATAAATGTCAGTTAAAATAAAGAACGACTTGAGCCTTTGTTTCATCTCGAGGGGAGTAACAGTCAGAACTCAGCCTGTTTCGCGCTGGAAGAGAGGAGAGGAGGAGAGGAGAGCAGAGCGGTGCCGGTCGCAGCAGCGGAGCTGTAAACGAGCAGCTCGTTAGGCGGTGACGTCGTTCTCAAGCATCAAAGGAAAAAAGGACTGCAAGCGCGCAAATCCCACATCAACGGCTGTCGGTGTATAAGAGTGCAGCGTGGTTAAGCTAAGAAGAAGTAACACATTTAAAACAAGTTAAATGTGAAGCAGATTAACCTTGTTAATTTAAAGGGACTTTATTAAGTGTTTACAGGGGTAAAGTGCAGTGGTAAAAAATTTGAGACTAAGCTGAAGTTATTGTTTGTTTAATATAAGGTGACTGTTAGCTACAAGTATTTTATTATTCATTTAAGGATACATTAAGATATATTTAAAGGGAAGTCATTGCTTTTTCATTTTTTATATTTTATATTTTGTAACAAGTGAGAAAAATTTAAAATTTATAATTTGGCTTATTAGGTGTTTATGACACACATTTAAGTTTATCTTTAAATAGTTGAGAAATTTACTGCTATAAGCACATTAAAGACAGTGATATCACTTAGTTGAGATATAGTTATAAGTAACAAGTTTAAAGCACACTATAATAGTGGTATGGCAGATCAAGAAGACTGTGATATTGATGCTGTGGAGTTGCAGTTACAAGTCAGTCCTGAAGATGAAAATTGTGAAACAAGCGCACAAGAGCCAAGCACAAATGAAGCTGCTAAAGAAGAGAGCTTGAGGAAAAGCCAAAGAGTTAGGAAATTCACTGAAAAGGGTCAAGCACTTCACGATGAAAAGGTGAATAAGTTTCAAACTCACTTTAAGGCATGCTATGATGAATGGAAATCTGCTGCTAAACAAGCTAAAAAGGCACTTGAAAACCCTGTTAGTGTAACATTGCATGATCACATTGCCCACGTCCAATATGCCTCATCAGAAGTAAAACAAACCTATGATAAGCTGCGCAGTTATGTAACTCCTGATGGAGACACCCGTCGAAGAGTGGATACATGCGATGCTGTTTCTCAAAAGCTTATAAAACTAGCTGAAGATTGGCTTGTAGAAAGTGGAAGTGTAAAGGATGTAGCAAAGGGGTCACTACGCTGGAGTGAAGCTGGTTCAGTGTTCATCTCAGCAGCGTCTCAAAAATCTAAGAGTGCAGGAAGCACATATTCAAGTTCAAGCAGATTATCTGTAAAGAAACAGGAAGCAGCAGCTGAATTAGCTGCAACTGAAGCTGCTCTTAAAGTTATGGAGGAAATGGATCGTGAAAGAAACGAACTTGAAAATCTAGAAGCAGAAAACCGGCAAAGGTTAGCAATACAAGAAGCAGAAAATGCTGAAAAACTAAAAGCATTAGAACAGAAGCGAAGAGAGCTAGAACGTCTAGAAACTGTAAAGAAAATGAATGCTGCCAAGGCACGACTGAAAGTGTACGAGGAAGAAATTAATTCAGATGAAGAAATCTCAGACCTCCTACATGACAATGTTAAACAAAGGAAAGCTGCTCCTAAGCCAGGAAGTTTGCCTGAACCTCTGCTAACACCATCAAAACCTACTGTAAAACTGCATCAGTTTTCCGCTTTACCACAGACCACAAGGTGTCAACTTCCGAACAATGCTACACAAGAAGATAGCACTACTGCTCTGGCTAGAGCATTAGCAGAATCCATTAATATAAGCCGTCTACCAGTACCAGAGCCTGCTGTATTCAATGGAGACCCACTCAAGTACAAAGACTGGAAAATGTCTTTTCAGACACTGATAGATCGGAAAAACATCCCAGTAAATGAAAAGATTTACTATCTCCGCAAGTATGTGGGTGGACCAGCCAGAAGAGCTGTTGAGAGTTACTTTCTACTGGGCACGGATGAAGCATATTATGCGGCATGGGACACTCTTGAAGAAAGATATGGAGGTTCATTTGTGATCGCCAAAGCCTTCAGAGATAAGCTAAATTCATGGCCAAAAATCGGAACAAAAGACAGTTCTGAGTTACGAGAGTTTTCTGATTTTCTCAGAGGCTGTGAAGCTGCTATGCTACAAATCAAGAATCTTGATGTCTTAAATGATTGCAGTGAAAATCAGAAAATACTAAGTAAGCTTCCAGATTGGTTAACAGCAAGATGGAATAGAAAAGTGATTGAGATTGAAGAGCAGCACGGTTCCTTTCCAACATTTAGTAACTTTGTGGACTTTATCACAAGAGAAGCCAAGATTGCGTGCAACCCAGTAACTTCACTACATGCACTCAAGGGAAGTGACTTAGAAAAAGTTAAGCCTACAAAGACTCGAAGTATCGGAACTAAGGTGCTGGCAAGTGCTGCAGAGGAGAAACCAAATATACAGAAATGTGTTTTCTGTGACAGATTGTACCATAGCATTCACACATGTCGACAGTTTATGGACAAGTCAATAATGGAGCGAGTCAAGTTCGTGCAAACAAAGGGATTATGTTTTGGGTGCCTTAACCCTGGACACCATTCAAAGAAATGTGGAAAGAGAAGTGTTTGTGACACATGCAAAGGGAAACACCCAACCTGTTTACACGAGGAACGGGATAAACAAATCAGAAAGAATAAAGAAGGCATAAAAGACACAAAGGAAAACAAACAAAGCAAAGAAATACCATGTGAGACAATATCACACCGTGTAGTTCAAAATAATAGTAGTAACCTCACATCTACAATCAGTCCAGTTTGGTTATCTACAACAAACAACCCAGAACATGAAATCCTGGTGTATGCTCTTCTAGATAGTCAGAGTGACACAACATTCATTTTACAAGAAAAGGCAGATGGTCTGGATGCTGACAAGAAGCATGTACAGTTAAAGCTTTCTACACTGTCAACCAGAGATTCAGTTATCCAAAGTGAAAGGCTGTCTGGGCTGCAAGTCAGAGGCTTCTATTCCTCAAAGAGAATTCTTCTTCCCGTAACATACACAAGAGAATTTATTCCTGCAAATCTAAATCACATATCCACTCCTAAGACAGCAAGAGCATGGCCCCACTTAGAGCACCTTGCCGAAGAGATAGCCCCTCCTATAGAATGCGATGTTGGGTTACTCATAGGTTACAATTGCTCACAAGCGCTTTTACCTAGAGAAGTTGTGTCAGGAAAAGACAATGAGCCATTCGCTCAAAGAACAGACTTGGGTTGGACAATAGTCGGTGGAGCTGACCCTTGTGTTGACTATGGTGATGCTATGGGAAGCAGCCACAGGATTATTGTTAAGGAAGTGACACCCAAGTTGTCATCAGATCAGTTGCCAAATGAAGTCCATTACATTTGTCGCACACAAGTCAAAGAAATAATCACACCACCAGACGTGATTAAAGTTCTTGAATCTGATTTCAGTGAAAGAAAGGTGAAAGAGTCTCACTTCTCCCAAGAGGATCTACGATTTTTGTCTATAATGGAAGAAGGAGTAAGGATAACAGCAGACGGACATTGTGAGCTACCATTGCCATTTAAAGAGGACAGGCCGTGTCTGGCAAACAATAAAAGCTGTGCAGAACACCGACTCCAATGTCTTAAGAAAAGACTTGAAAGAGACAAACAATATTGCAACGACTATACAACATTCATGAATGAAACTATAGAGCGTGGAGATGCAAAAAGAGTTCCACTTGAAGAACTTGACAAAAGCTCTACCTGGTACCTTCCGCATCATGGGGTGTACCACCCCCAAAAACCAGGGAAAATAAGAGTAGTGTTTGATTGTTCGGCCAAATTTAAAGGTGTGTCATTAAATGATCATCTGCTCACAGGGCCAGAGCTAACCAATACCTTGATAGGTGTCTTGTGTCGGTTTCGCAAGGGTCCAGTGGCAGTGATGTGTGACATAGAACGTATGTTTCACCAGTTTAGAGTCAGGGACGAAGATCAAGACTACCTCCGTTTCCTGTGGTGGGACAATGGAGATTTTCACTTAAGTCCATCAGTCTACCGAATGAGAGTTCATTTGTTCGGAGCTGCTTCGTCACCGGCTTGTGCAAACTTTGGTCTCAAGTACATTGCAGCACAAGGTCGAGGCCAGTTCAGTGAAGCAACTATAAGATTCATTGAAAGGAACTTTTATGTGGACGATGGCCTTATCAGTTTCCACTCCGAAGAAGAGGCTATTCGTTTAGTCCATGAAGCGAAAAAACTCTGCAGTATTGGAAAATTGCGACTGCATAAGTTTGTTTCTAACAGCCCACAAGTTCTTGAATCTCTCCCTAAAGAAGATTGTGTAGAGACAGTAAGAAACCAAGATCTAGCACTGGGCGAGCAACTGATTGAAAGAGCTCTAGGGGTTAAATGGAGTGTTGCTTCAGATCATTTCCAGTTTCGAGTAGTAGTGAGTGAGCGTCCATTCTCCAGACGAGGAGTCTTGTCAACTGTAGCTTCCATCTACGACCCACTTGGATTTGTGGCGCCTTTCGTTCTGCTTGGCAAGCAAATTCTACAGCAAATGTGTCGTGACAAGTCAGACTGGGACACACCACTCTCAAATGAGCATCAGTCACGGTGGGAGTCCTGGCTTACAGATCTAAAGGACCTTGCGCATGTCAAGATTGATCGCTGCTATCTACCAGCAGATTTTCAAGAAGTTCAGAGATATGAACTCCACCATTTTTCAGACGCAAGTGTTGCAGGATATGGTGTCTGTACGTATCTAAGAGCAGTCAGTAGATCAGGACGAATCCACTGTTCACTTGTCATTGCAAAGTCCAGAGTAGCACCCACCAAGGTAACTACTGTACCAAGATTGGAGCTGTCCGCAGCAGTAGTAGCGGTGCGCATAAGTGATATGCTCAAAGGAGAACTAGAGTTGGAAAATGTTCAAGAGTTCTTCTGGACAGACTCTCAGGTTGTCCTGGGATATATAAACAATGAAGCGAGGCGTTTTCATGTTTTCGTGGCAAACCGTATCCAACGAATCAAGGAAAGTACTAAACCAACACAGTGGAAGTATGTTGCATCAGAAGATAACCCTGCTGACCATGCGTCTCGAGGTCTCAAATCTAAAGAACTCATTGCTTCCAACTGGTTTAGTGGCCCAAGTTTTCTTTGGGAAGATTCACTTCCTACTGGAGAGATTAAGGTGGGAGATCTTGACACAGATGACCCAGAGGTACGCAAAGTTCTTGTACACCACACCTTGACAACAGAGAATTCTCTGGCAGAACGTTTCAGCAAATTCTCCAGCTGGACAAAATTAGTTAAAGCTATTGCAAGACTAATCAGATTTGTAAAGGAGTTGAAGGGCTCAATAAAGCGAACCAATAAAGCTACAAGTCTCGAAGAAAGGCAAGAAGCTGAACATGTAGTTATTGCCATTGAACAAGGATTAGTCTTTTCCAAAGAAATCAAGGAACTCCACTCCAAGAAGGAGTTAATTACTAAAGACAGAGCAAGCAGATTGTATCGACTCAATCCCTTCTTGGACCACAAGGGCATCCTCAGAGTGGGAGGAAGATTAGAGCATGCAACTTTACACCCAAATGTCAAGCATCCATTTATCTTACCAAAAACCAGTCATATCACCAAGTTACTGATTGATCACTATCATCAGAAAGTGAAACACCAAGGGCGTGGCATGACCACAAACGAACTGAGATCTAATGGCATATGGATTCTCGGCTGTAGTCAAGCAGTATCATCATTTATCTACAACTGTGTCAAATGCAGAAAATTCAGGCGGCAAACAGAAGAACAAAAGATGGCAAACCTGCCTAGCGAAAGAATGGAGACAACTCCTCCCTTCACATATTGTGGGATGGATTGTTTCGGTCCATTTTACATCAAGGAGGGAAGAAGGGAACTAAAGCGCTATGGGCTGCTGTTCACATGTTTGTGCTCTCGTGCAGTACATATAGAGTTACTTGATGATTTATCAACTGACGCATTCCTTAACTCACTTCGGGCATTCATTGCTTTACGTGGAAACGTTCGTCAGCTGCAATCAGACCAAGGCACCAATTTTGTTGGAGCAAGGCGTGAGTTTTTGGAAGCAGTGAAAGAAATGGACCAGGAATGTCTGAAACAACTAGGCTGTGAGTTTGTCATGAACCCACCCTCTGCCAGCCATATGGGTGGAGCCTGGGAACGGCAAATCCGAACAATCAGAAGTGTGTTGAATTCCATCCTGGATCAATCATCTAGAACTCTGGACAGTTCATCCTTAAGAACATATCTATATGAAGTGATGGCAATCGTAAATAGCCGACCCATAACAACACAATTACTCAACGATCCTACTGGACCACAACCACTTACACCCAACCTTCTTTTGACAATGAAATCGTCAATAATACTGCCTCCACCAGGAGATTTTGTAAAGGAAGACCTTTACCTTCGTAAAAGATGGCGTCGAGTGCAGTATCTGGCTAACGAATTTTGGCAAAGATGGAAAAAGGAATATTTGTTGAGCCTACAACAAAGACAAAAGTGGCACAAAACGAACAGAAATGCAAAAGTCAATGACATCGTCATAATACAAGATGATACAACGCAGAGAAATGATTGGAAGCTGGCAAAAGTTACTGCTGTGTACCCAAGTCAAGATGGATGCATACGAAAAGTGCAGCTACTAATCAGTGACTCCACATTAGATAACCATGGAAGGAAACTGTGTAAACCTGTCCATCTAGTAAGGCCAATCCACAAGACTGTCACATTACTGGAAGCTGATTAGCACAGTTCACATTTCATTCTGGAAATCACAAGTGATTGGTGGGAGTGTAGCTGCCGTCAGAAGCAATGCTTATATATTACACTCTATAAACATAAACTTTACATTAAAAAGTCAATAAATAGATAAAATGTTCAAATTAATCATTAGAATAAATAAGTAATGTATATTTGTTGTTAATGCATGTTAATTCATTTAAAGTTATTTAACTAAAACTATAAGGGGGAGGGGGGAACCTTTTCTTGTTATGTTTAGCTTGGGAATTATTTCATTGTTGCAATGAAGATATTCTTCCGATCCACTACAAGTAGTTCAGCCACAAGGTGCTGTGCTAAAACAAGTTTTTAAGGTTTAAGAAGTGCAAAGAAGTTTGTTAAAGAGAAACTGCAACCCTTCAAGTTTATTCCTCTTGAGTTAGAGAGGCCAATGAGGTATGTGTTGTATGGTGTTAACGTATGTGAACGTGTATGATTATGTGTCCGTATGTAATGTATAATTAGCCAATTAAGTGTATTTCGTTACATGTTGAATGTGCACTTTATTTTTTGTTTGTATGTATGTTGTTTATTACGTGCAACATCACCTTTAAAGGGTTAATTGAAGTTTATGTATTTCTTTTCGTAGTTCTGACGGCAATATTGGGACATAAAGGAGTGCAAGGCTAGAATGTACAAGACATACTACAGACTCGTGTCCGAATAAATGTCAGTTAAAATAAAGAACGACTTGAGCCTTTGTTTCATCTCGAGGGGAGTAACATTAGTATTATTAACTTGACTAGTTTAGTTGCAGACTTGTTCAATACTTAACAATTTGTATAAGTTACAAGATCAATGGTCCTGCTATCAATGTTTTTGTAACTTAAATTCATTACAGTTTAGATACAATCAAATGTCCAAACCATCTCTGAGTGAATGACATCAAGGAAACAGGATCAAAAGATCATTCATTATAGACCGTTTCATAGGTAACAGCACATCCTTTGTGAAAAATAATTTTTTTTTTGTGTCATCATCACAAGACAAAATACATTTCAACTGATTTCAGTTGGTTATATTTTTCAGGTCATTCTGTTCTCCTGGTGGTGAGGATGTGCAGAGGCTGTATTTGTGCAGCTGTATTCACACATACAAGTAGCCGACAAAGAGTTCTGGAGCAGGACAGACAGGTAGTTCACAGTGGCTAGGCAAGAAATTTATACTTGGGTGGCCAGAAAGTGGCCTCCGCTATTTTGGGGGGTCCATACAAATAAACCAGTGTAAGCTATACTATTGCACTGAAAAAATTAAATGAAAGAATTAATTAATCGGTTGAACACAAAATATTTTAAAGAAAGCTTGAGTATCAAGGTGGCAATATACAGTATCTGTTACATTGTAGTACATGAGCTGGCTAATACAGACTCGTAAATGTTTAGTTGTTAAGATTAGTTAAATACTAAATCCTATACTTGAGACCGGCTGCATATACAGCTTTAACTGAACTGAATTTAACTAGAACTACACCAGCATTCCAAGTGCTCTAGACTAGCTTTTTGCACTGGTGCGTCTAAAATGTTTGATGGCATTGCATTTAACACTGCAATTTTACATGTTAAAATCACAATCCATATAGGCAATATTGACTTGTAAATGATTAATAAAAATCGGGTCAACACACATTATGGGGATTGTGTGTAGAATTTTGAGGAAATTAATGAATTTAATCCATTTTGAAATAAGACTGAAACATTAAAAATGTGGAAAAAGTGAAGCGCTATCAATACTTTCCGGATGCATTGTATATGGTTTTTAGCACGTTATCAAAGACTTAAAAAAATAGTCCAACACTATCTACAGCAGCAAAAGACCCTCCACATCAAAAGCTACTGGTCAGCTCACGATTCAGCAAACATCTGAAAAACAAATAGCTTATTATGCCTTCACAAGAAATCAGTGTTTTTGAGTCTAATGAAGATAGTACTATTTTATTAAATTATTATTTAGCCTGGCATGTTTACTGTTACAAAATATTTTAAATGTTTCTTAAAATAAAACATATTGTGTTTAATGAGGAAACAGTAGCTGTTTTTTTTACAGAGATAAAAAAAACACATTTCAGAGCAGTAATCACAATACTGTGAAACTGTGATATTTTTATCTAAGATTATACCCTCAGAATCTTATACCTGCTCATTCCTAGCCAGTTACTTAAAGCATTCAGTCAGAGTTTTTTTTATTTTTTTTTCAGTTGTCCTATATTCTGTTTTTCTTTGTTCTTGGAAATGCTGCTGTGCATGAAAATGTGACGACATATCCAGGTTCTATAGTTAATTCTGAAATAAATCTTAAAATGAAACAATATTTAAAAATGCAATATTTAATGTGTCAGACACTAAATAAACATGTCAATTCATTTATATTAATCTGATTCCTTAACAGGAGAGCACGGTGGCGCAGAGGGTAACACGTTTGCCTCACAGCAAGAAGGTCGCTGCTTCGAGCTTCGGCTGGGTCAGTTGGCGTTTTTGTGTGAAGTTTGCATGCTCTCCCTGTGTTGGCGTGGGTTTCCTCCGGGTGCTCCGGTTTTCCCAAGTCCAAAGACATAGGTGAATTGGGTATGCTAAAATTGACCATAGTGTATAAGTGTGTGTGAATGAGTGTGTATTGGTTGCAGCTGGAAGGGCATCCGCTGCGTAAAACATATGCTGGATAAGTTGGCCTTTCATTCCGCTGTGGCGACCCCAGATTAATAAAGGGACTAAGCCCAAAAGAAAATGAATCCTTAACAGTTAATATTGGTATAATGAGCAGCAGTTGTCATTTATGTAAATTAACCATTTGAGCGTGCTTAGTTTGGGGTATGTTGTGCCATTAAATTGTCAATTGTCAATTTCTACATTTTAAATCTGCTTTAACTTTCTTCTTTCCTATGAACCTGGAAATATAAAATATATATTTTTTTGGTTTTTAACAAATTGCTTATTTTATTCTTAGATTGGTGTACGCTGATGGTCTGCTGAGAATTCTCCTGAGTTGAAGGGATCCTCCTGTCAGACAACCTCTCCAAAGTACAATAGGACTAGTAAGTAACATCTTAAACATACACTAATGTTTCATAGCTTTTAGGTTGGTATGGTAAATTCTCTTCTGATAGTGTCAGCTTTATTTAATTAATACAGTCAAGCAGTAATACTGTGAATTTAATACAATGTATATAATTAATAGTGTCACATGATCCTTCTGAAAAAAATAGTATTCCAATGTACTGATTCTCTCCTCAAGCTGTTTTTTTAAATATAATAATAATGTAATGTGGTATCTGAAGATTAGACATATATTTAGATACACATTTATACTAACACAATGATACTAAAAACCAAAAAAAAAAAACATTCATTATGATTTCACAAGGAATTTAACTTTCAAATGGCTTTTCTGAAAATTAGTGCTCAGACACACTCTTTAAGTTTAAATTAAATTACACATTTTAGCTAGGCACTTGCATAACACATACTCCAGTTATATGTCATGAAACAAATAATATTTATTTGTGGTAATATGAACTGCTGCAATGCTAATCTTTCTCCTTTTGGTTTCTTGCTTTATTTAAGGGTTCCCACTACAAGGATTAGATTTGGCTACTGCAGTCCTGGTTTGGGCCAGCCTCACTTGTGAAGACTAAAGATGAAGACAACATACAAGAACAATTTAGAGGATGGCGACACACTTTTTATTCCACCTATATATGCCCTTTTATGTGTAAGCAACATTCCACAAGAATAAAACAAAACTAAATGACAGGTTATTTCTTTTAATTTTGTCTGATTTCTTGGAACATTGTACACAATTTACAACCAGTTTATATATATATATATATATAGGTCAGAGCAAGAAAATGTTATGTTTTCTTCTGGAGAAAGTCTTATTTCTTTTATTTATATTTTAGTTTTGAATTTAAAAAAAAAACATTTTAAGGTCAATATTATCAGCCTCTTTAAGCAATTTTTTTCGACTGTCTACAGAACAAACCATCGATATACAATAACTTGCCTAATTACCCTAACCTGCCTAGTTAAGCCTCTAAATGTCACTTTAAGCTGTATAGAAGTGTCTTGAAGAATATCTAGTCAAATATTATTTACTCAGTTATTAAAAATGAGTTATTAAAACTATTGTGATTAGAAATGTGTTAAAAAATATTTCCGTTAAACAGAAATTAAGGGATTATATATATATATATATATATATATATATAATCCCTTAATTTCTGTTTAACGGAAATATTTTTATATACAATATATATATATATATATATATATATATATATATATATATATATATATAATGACAAAATCTGTTTTGTGTCGTGCATTAGTTTGCTTAAAAAAACTGGTTATCTCTGAGAAAGTATTGTTATTTTATATTATTGATGTGTTATTAGTTCATAGGAGATTTCAAATTGTTGAATGCCATTTATAAAAAAAATTGTACTACAGACTTTAATAAGATTTTATCAGACAATTATTTTAATTTGTATGATTTTATTTACTACTGTAAATATTGTTTGCTTGGTATTTATTTTGTGTTTGTGTTCTCTTTTATTATTGTAACTCCCTGAAGAAAGTCTTTTGGATACTGAACACATGACTGGAATTATCTTGTATTTTAAAATTATAGTCTTGGAAACATGCATTTTCTTTAACACTATTTAAGAAATTATAAGCATTATAACATGTGCTTACACACGTTATTTGTGTTTTTACTATAGTAAACTATAGTCACCCTTAGTGTACATGTTTTGAAGTACTTGTAAATATTCCTATGGTCTTAATATAAATGCTGCAATGAACTTTGTATTTAAAATCTTTATTGCACAGTAGCTTAGCCATGGTTATAGTACAACTTGTTGGTTTTGTTTTAAACGTGGTGGTTATGTGTGATAAAAGTATGTTAATCTATTTGTATGTTTGTGAAAATATTAATAAATCTTCAACTGTTATTGAGAGTGGTGTGTCGTGTTTATTATAAATAAGCAGCTGCTGCAGCTAGTGGTCCATAAGTATGAGCAAAACGCCTGAGAATAGCGCCTCCGCGGCGCGGCCGGTATTTCCGGTTGCGTCGTCCTAACATCGGCCGGACAGCGTTTCCGATCATTTGCCGACGTCGCGGCGACATTTTGCCAATTAGCAAACGCTCCCTGAGCGACATCGCACCGATGGAATTTTGAAAATCGGCACGACGTCGGCCCAACGTATGTGTGCTGTCTGGGTTATAAGGATCGACTGATAAGATTAATCGGGGGTTCCGTCAGACTATACTACAAATTAAAAACACCGGACAATACAGAAATACAGACTATAAAAGAGTGGATTAAAACTACTTCACTAATCAAACTCTTCATCAATTCACTCTGTGGCTCTGCTTCTGAAGAAGTTCGACGACAAACTAACAATGTTTACGTGTTTCTAAAGTGTATTTATAGCAGGTCTAATGCTGGTGATAAAAATAGAGTAGGCTAGCCAGTGCGTGTTTTGAATTGATAACATATCGCTACATCTATTTAGGGGAACTGACCTCGATGTTTTCGTGATAACTTCACGCTTTTTGGACACGAAACTGCAGAACAAGTATACGGAATTCAACCAGTATTTCAAATTAAAAACATGTATCAAGCTAGCCACAACTTCCAAATTTTTGAAGCGAAGAGTGCCTGAATGAACTCGCTCACCTCTACCGCAGTC